AAGTAAACCTGGGCAGGGATCTAGAGCTGAGTTTGTCCTGACCTTTTGCTATGCTTAAAATGAGGGAATTGATCTGCAAATGTGTATTCCTTGCGATATCCAACAACTTCACATTTTAAAAGTATTTAAAGAGCAAAAGGCTTGAGCGGGAAAAGTTGACTTATTGTGCTGGCAGTACACTGATTTCCCTGAGAAAGTTCAAGCTCATTGTGTTGGATTTCTGTGGCTGGGTTTCGGTAGATTAAGATTGCAAGGATGTTGGTCCAAACTGGAGACTTCCAGCCGAGGTAGCTGCACCAACCCAGCCCTGATACTACAGGTGCAACCAGGTTAAGAGAACGTGTATGTGGGCTTGGATTTTGGTTGGTGGAAGTGGTGCAGTGATACTGGCAGGGAAGATTCCTTGGCTGATGTGGGCCTCCCCTCTGCAGAGGTAAAGGTGGAAAATACCTTTTAGGAATTCCTGTACGGCTGCTGTTGCTGCAGGTCCAGTGTCTCCTGAGTGCCTCAGGTGTGCTGTGGAAAGCACAGTACTGCCAAAATCTCTGGTAAGGAAAAAGATGGCTTGCATTTGGTAGCTCAGTGTTCAGGGATGATGCTAGTAAAAATCTCATGGTTTGATTAATGGTGCCAAAGCCTGACCTTTCATTCCCATTGCTTTGTAGTTGTTATTTTTTTCATTTAAAAAATTACCTCAGTGAACAGAAACAACTTGTTTGATCTAGACACTGCAGCTCCTAAATTTCCAAGGTTTGTTGGTGTTTTATTTTGGTTTGGGCTGGCTTTTTTTGTTTGTTTGTTTAACTGATTGGTTTTTCGTATGGGGTTTCTTGTTTGTTTGGGGTTTTTTTTCCCTCCGAAATCAAACCTTTGATTTTCATTGTCCTGATTGGTTAACCTGAATCACGGGTTGTTAAGAATCCTGTGCTGTGTTGTTGCATCATGTAGATGTTCTTGCTAAATCCTGTGAGAAATGTCACTTCTGCTGTTTCCCACTAAGTCAGGGAGTGGTAGAGAGGAGGAGGGAGAGAGAAACTGAAAATCCTGGTAGAACAAGCTGAGCACTGGAGGATTCTAGAAACTGGTGATTGAGACAGGAGTAACCCATTTCCTGTAAGTCTTTTGGAAACTCAGCCTGGGTGAAACCTTCCTGTCTCCAGAGCCATCCCAGATAATGACACATTTCCTACCTTTGATCCTGCACACCAAATGGCTCGTTTTTGAGGTATTCAGTGCATGAAGTGAGTGCTGAGTGAGCCAGGTTTGTCTTGGCTGCAGCCAGGAGGATTTAAGAAGGAGTGAGAAGGAGATTCCTTTGTACCTCTGTCACCCCCTGGGAATTCTGGAGCCTTTCAAGGCTTTTTGACTAGGACTGCAAGAGTGTTCATTTTTCCAGGAGGATGACTGCTGAGATGTTAAATCTAGTCAGGAGATTAACCTAAATGCTGAGAAGTAGAGTAAAAAGAATGGGTTTTATACAGTGCTAATCATTTGCTTTGAAAGGAGTGTTTGGTCTACAAAAAAATCTTCAGGGCAATTTATCAAGAAAACAATGCTTTTAGTAAACTGTTATTTGATTTTCAGTGTTACCTAAAGCTGACAATGGGATGTGGGCACCTTTAGGTAAAAAAGAGTTGTCAGTATCTGGTTTTCCACTGGGCTTTATGTGGAAGCTGTGCCCAGGGGGGTGGGCTGGGGTAATGGGCACAGGACTGGTTGGTCCTCGGGATGTCTGTCTGTCTGTGTCTGTCTGTGCTGCAGAAGTGGCACCTTGTGCTGATGGTGAGTGTTGGGTAAACGGTGGAATGAGGTTTTCAAGGACTGAAGGACTCATTTCATCGCCTAGAGTATAAGTTTGCTTTCTTTGCATTGGGGTAAATGATGTCAGAGTCAAAGCACATTCAAATCCAGGCACACAGGTTTGCAAGAGGAGCAGGAGGGAAAAACCATGTGAGTAAAAGGAGGTCTAAGGAATGTGAACCTGTAACATGGAGGGATCAGCTGAAGGGTGCACAGCACAGTTCAACTGCCAGAAAAAAGGTCTGTGGTGTGGTGAGCAGACGTCTTGGCAGGATCAAAGCCTTCTTTTTAAATCTTTCCGTCACAGTTCCAGTGTTGGAAGCCAGAAATAGCACAGGAGTAGCAGGAGCACCATATGGTGAGCATGGTCCTCTCCAAGACAGGGCTGGAGCTGGGGGCCTGGCTGTGTGCTCTGCTCAGGAGATCTCATTTCAATGCTGAGCACCAAGGCTTCAGCTTTCAGAGTAAACACGGTGCTAATTTGATTGTTAAAGGTGGCATGTGAGTAATACCTGCCTCGGGGACCAGCTCAATTGCTCCCAAGGTAAAACTAATGAAGTCAGTATAAAAGGTTGACACACATTCATGAAGATCAAATTTGACAAGCATCCTCTAGATATATTTCGCACAGAATGGAGATGGCAGTAATTTGCAGGATCTCTGGATTGTGGTGGTCTCTTTTTCTCTATCTGTACCACCTACTGAAATATTTACTTCCCAACCCATCAGGACCCCACAGATGAAATGGGCAGGAAACTTAATTTCTATTGATTTCAGCCCTGGTGGGGTCTGGTGGGTGAAAAAAATTGGAAAAAAAAAAAAATTACATTTTGCTTTGACACCTGCCTGGACATACCAGGCTCCTGACTGCTTCATCAGCAGCTCCACAGCACTCCTGCTCTCCACTGCCTTCCTGCTGGCAGCTGAAGTGGCCCCCACTGGGGGATTTTGGTTTTTCTGAGAGACTCCAGCTCCCAATTTGTCAGCAACGTGAACAAAAAAAAAGAGAAAAAAAACCAACTTCCCCTTACTGGGGAGATCCTGAACTGAAGCAGCACCAGCTTCCCAGAAGGGCCAGCAGTGGTTCAGCGACGTGCCAGCACTGCTGGTGTGACACCCACATGGCCCCTCCATGGCCAGCTGTCCCAGGAGCAGCCTTCTGGTGAAGTTTTAATTAGGTAAATTTATGATTATGCTTCAGAAAAAGCATTTTATCTTATGGAGCAAGGGGGGGTGAGACTCGATGATCTCAAGAGGCCCCTTCCTGTCCTCAATGGTTCAGTCATTCTGTACAGTTTTAGATTCTACTTAATTATTAAGCAAGCAGCTGAGTTATTTTAGCTTTTTTGAGAAAACAAAAAGCAGCTATTATTTCTTAGCAGCAGATGTACAGTAACCCTTGATTATATTAATTTGTTCATAATTTTTCTTTGTTCATAATTTGTTTCTGCTCATAACTTGATGTTGCTATTCTCAGATGCTTTTTGTAATGCTGCTGCAGGTCTCCTCCCTGCAAAAACACACTGAAAGTATTTTAACCCTCACCTCAGCCTTTCAACATGACTTGAGGACTCCTAAAATCTTAGTACACTGTATATTTTCCTTTAGAAAGAGGCAAGGGCTCAAAGCAAAGGCTCAACAGCTCTGAAAATTGATTAGTCAGCAAATCAAATCATACTAACACAAAAAAAAATCACTTTTCCCTTGAAATATTTGATTTTTTTTGTGTATTTCAGTGAATAGAGATGTGAGGTTTAACAGGATACTTGCCCACAATTTTCTTGCATAATGCCCTCAGTATCTCCATGCCTGATCTGTTTGCATGATGGTGACTGGGAAGAAAGAAAGTTTTTGTTATCGTTCATCAAAGGCATTTTTTTCTTTTTTTAAACTTAGTGTCAGAGCTTGGGTTTCCTGGAACATCAAGCAGTAATTATCTCCCTGGGTTTGCTGACCTTTCAGTCAACTCGGGTTTTGCTTTTGCATTCAATATTAACTCTGTGGCCAATTTTTAAAGGAGTCTCACAAGTTCATCTTTAATTAGAAACCAGCAATCTTGTTCCTGGTCAGTCATGGGACTTCTCTCACTTCAGCTGGTGATTCAGTGCAGAGTGATGATGGTTTTGTTTGCAAGCCTAAACACAGGCAAAATTTGAGCTGGTTTCAGTTAAAAAAGAGCACTTGAAAAGATGGTTATGCCCTCGTATGCCTTAGGTTTTGGGGGTTCTGTCTGAAAAATGTGGGGCATCTGACCCTCATTGGCAGGTTCTCCAGCACTGAAAGGTTGTGGATGATGGAGAATTGGCTCTCCTGGATCATTTTTATGGTCACTAACGTGGATGGTGGCTTCAAAGCCACTGGAGTGTGACATTTCCCTGCTCCCAGCCGAGACAAAGGCTGGAGACAGACGGTGCCTGTGGCAACAGACCTTGAGAGCCAGTTTGAGGAGAAAGCTCAGGCTGCCTGAGGGACATGTCTGGTGTTGGTTGCTATGAAGGACAAAAGACACCAGTCCCAAGGAGGAGATCTTTACGTCTGATTTCTGTCCAGGGCAGGAGTGCACAGTGCATTTGATGTAAGTGAGAACTTGACCTGCTCACACAGTCAGAAAGGTCTGGGAATAAAGAGCTGGAAGCAATAAGGGATTTAAAGCCACTTAAAATGCACAGATGTGAATGTGTGCTGGATAGGGTATCATGCCATGCTGACAGCCTTGCTGGGTTGACTGATAAAGATATTCTTTACAAATAGTGAAACAGTGGCCCGGATATCTTAAAAGAGATTATTTGCTGGCTAATTATCCTTTAGGAGGATAACTAGCCTCACCCTGTGGGTGTGGCGAGGTCCCTCTGACCTTTACTTTGGAGCTCCTCAAAAGAGAATAAACTTGGAGCCGCCCAGCCAGGCTGTGCAGAGCCCATCCTGCAGCACAGCTGGAGCAGCCCAGTGTCCCAGGCTCCTCCTGCTCTTTGCACTGTGTGTGTGTGTGTGGATTTCCCTCCTGTGCAAGTCAAATATTAAATGGTCCCCGTGCCTTTTTGTCTCTGTAAAAGTGTCCTGTGAAGAAATGATGCTCAAATACAATTTTTTCTCTGACAGCCTAGATAACTGCTGGTGTGTTGAGTTAAACATATGTGTATATTTACATGCTGTTACAATCTACTCTGAGGCTTGTAACCTGCATCTCCATTTTCTTGCAGAGTCTTCCTGAGTATCTTCCAGGGTCTGAGCTCCACTGAGTGTTTGTCTTGGGTCTGTTCTGTTCAGCTCCTTCCCTGCACCTTCAGAGGCAAGCCTCTTCCCCAAAATCCACTCTGTTTGGCATTCCTCCTGCAGCCAAAGAGAGCTCCTTCAGCAGTGGGATCTGCCCAAGAGGCAATGGGAATGAATGGGTAAGGACTGCAAGGCTGTAGTTGCTGTCAGGTTCCTGTAGTTATGTAAAAGGGGAGGAGAGCTAAATAGTTTTGTTGAGGAAATTCCAGAAAAATGGGACAGTTACTTGGAGATACTGTTCTGGAGTCTCCTTTCTTGTTTTGATCTACACAAAACTTCTTGAATTTTATTCTTGCTTGGAATTACATCTCATGTGTAAGAAGTCATTGCACTTACCTGAAAAGCAAACAAAACCCAAACACCACCCCCACCCCCAAACTCAACATACTGATGTGGATTAAGCAGCTCCCATTGGACAACTACTTGAGGAAATCTGGGAATATGGTCAGACTACAGTCATGGGATGGCTTTTAATGGTTGTGATGATGGCAAATCCTGAGATGGCTTTGAGGTAGAAATTAAAGCATGGAATCATCTGACACAACTATACCATCCAAGTGATTTTAGTCCCCAAAGTAGTGTTTTTGTAGCTTGTTAACAGAAAAATCTCTTGTCCCGTATTGAGCGTGGGAGAGGCTTGGATGTGCTGGGAAATGTAAGGGTGCCCTGGGAGCCTGTGGAGGTGGAGGCTGTGCAGAGTCACTGCAGAAGTGCCTGGGAAATCTGGGCCTCCCGGAGCCTACTCTGGCACTGTGGCTCCAAATTCATGGAATTGAGCACTGCAGAAGCCTCCAGCCTAACAAAGGAGCTGACAAGGGGGTTTGAGAGATTCTCTTTAGAGGGAATCCAAACTTTGAGAGCTTCCTGTGACTCTCGTAGCCATTCCTGGCTGGAAGAACTAATTCATGGAGCTGTTACAGCCCTGACATCTACACAAATTAACAAGTTTTCCTCACTGGGTCTGAGGGTGAAGTGAATTCTGCTCAGAGAACAGCTCCACACAGGTGCCAATTCCATCACATTATGTAAATAGCCTGTGACTAATGGAGAAGCCTATGAAATGAAATGAAATAAAATAAAAGGCATCAGTCAGTGCATTTGCATGGAAACCAAAGGAACCTTGTTTAAAAATGAGTGATACCAGACAAGATAATTCTAAGGTTGCCATTGTGGAATATTTCTAAGTGTCTTATTAGCATAGAATTGAAAGGACAATTTTTTGTTTATGGAGTCTATCAGGTTCCACTAAGTACATCTGCTGTCCATCTGACCCTTCATTGTGAGGTTTCTCAAAGCTTTGCTATAGATTTGCTCTCCTCTCATTTTGAATTGTTTTTCTGTATCTACTTTTATCTATTTTTCTCTCCCTATTGTCATTTTTTTTTCTCCTCTGCCTTGTACCCCTCAGCTTTTAAATTTTCTCTCTCCTTTCATCAAGCTGGCCATTTAAAATTTTTATTTTCTTGTTTGTCACATACCCTTTTGCTTTTTAATTTTTCGTTGTGTCTTTTATTTTTTATGTCTCTTGGTTCATCCCGACTCTTTAGAGGGTCACCTTGGCGCAGTGGTATCTCTGGAGTGTAATTTGTACCCCTCTGGGTTTGCCAGGGCATCTCTGCAGGTCACCCCTCTTCCTCAGAGCAGTCTTTGTGTCCTCTCCTCCATCTCCTTTGCCTCCAGTGTGTCAGCAGCTCCCTCCTGACATCTGTGCTCTGGTCAAGTCCCCTCCCGAGTGCCTTTGTGCCCTAGAGCTGTGTTTTATCTGCTCTGTGGCCACTCTTTCCACCTGCAGCAGGTTTTGCATTTTTCTTTGACCTCTTGGTGATTCTTGGCCTTTGGGCACATGAGAACTGTCCTACCCCTGTCACAGACAGTACAATTCACCAGGCAGTTTTACACAGGGTGATATTTATTTGTCAGCCGATGGGAGCAATCAAAGTCTTTAGACCACACAGAGCACTGGCACTGCCTTTGTCACAGACAGAATTACAGTCAATAATCAATTGATCTCTCTGCTCAACAGAATCATTTCCACAATGGGTGCCAGTTCCTAAGTATCTAACCCTAGTTATATGTGCTTACAGTTAAACCAATCAACCATAAAATACACAGACAAGTAAGGGTATGTTCATTTACAAGGATGTTTATAAATATGTTAGTCTGGTCTACACAACTCAACCACTTGAACAAAGCTCTGATGCACTTTAAAAAAAAAAAAAAAACAACCCAAGAGTTTGTACATTGGGGTAGCATTTGGGAGTTCAGGTTCCTCCTCTAGTTTTCAATAATTAAATCCATGTTGCTGCTCCCCTGAGGAAACTCACAGTCCTCCAGCTGGGGCTTGATGATCCTTGTGGGTCCCTTCCAACTCAGAATATTCCATGATTCTGTGATCAAGTAACAACTCTCTGGTGAGAAAGGCTGTTAGAATTTTGTCTACTTGCTATATCAATACAAAGAGAGGAAATAAAGTTATCAGCATTACCCAACACAGGGCAACATTTGCCAGTTTAACTTGAGCCACCTTTAGGCATTGCATATTGCAGTTACATACATCACTGTCACACACCATGCTGGAGTCCATGATACTTATGCTTTAAAAACAAGCAACTCTTCTTTGTTCCTATTCCTGTCAAAGTCAGTTCACTCACTGACTTGCCTGGAAATTCACTATCAGGATGCATATGAAGCCACTGGATGTACTGAGAGTCTTCAGGACTGTGAGGATCCTCTGTTCAGTTAACAATGATTTTTATAAATGCAGCATCAAGAAGAGATACTTGATAACTGCTCGGGACAGAAATGGAGCATCAGCACTTGAGTCAAATGAAAGTGAGAGGAAGAAATGAGAAGAAATCAAGGCACAAGTATGATTGTTCACATTTGATTCTGAGGAAGTCACTGCTGGAAATGCTGCCACCTGCTAATGAAGAACCTTCTTATGCCAAGATTCAGACTGGAAGGAAAAATTGATTGCTTAAGTTTGATCAGGATGTCGTGAGCAGACCATTGGTGTTACAAAAAGCAATGGCAATCTTTTTTGTGCCTGTCTGATGCACTGCCCAAGCACTTCTAGGGAGAGACAGTACAGGGAGACCGTCCATCTGCATCACTTAATTTAAACCAGTGTTAATTTTGTGGCTGTGTTTAAACCACTTGGGATGTGATACTAAAACCACCTCTGCTATAAAACTAAGCACACTTGGGTGTGCCTAAGGGATGGGAATGCTGGTATGGGAGCTACTTAGGCCAAGTTCATATGTGGGAACCTCAGCTGAGCCTGATTCAAACTCTAAATACTGTCTGAGACACTTCTGTGAGAACTGAGAGTAATCTGAACTGTTGTGCCAATATTAATAAATTAAACTGTGAATGTCCTGCGCTTGTAGATTGCTTTCAGCATGGGCCCTGAAGCTGTAAACTGTGCTTAAATATGAGGAAGACAGAGAGATCTGTGTTCCAAACTCAAGGAAATCCAGCTGATAGCCCAGCCTTTTGCAGGAATGCCACCAGGATTTGTTAAAATGATCTGTTCAGTGAATGGTTGTCTGGCAGTATTAGGTGACTTTCTGTACAGGCACTGGAATCTCCAAGAAAAGTGAAGTTCCTGAATCAGGTTTGCTCTCACTTAAGCAAGTGCAACGAAGACAGTGCACCATTATTACCTGGAGTCTCACCGATGAGAGAACCAGCTCCATCAGCTCACCCTCACCAAAGCACACACCAGCCCCTCGGGCCGTGCCTGGTGTGGTCACAGTGTCATCGACTGCAAGTTGGTGCTTTTAACTTGGTTAAACACCCATTTGCTGAACAAGCAGATGGTGTGAACCAGCAACGGAGGGAGCCCAGTGATTGAGGGGTGGAGTTAATGGAACTAATTAACACTAAGATACTCTTATCAGTCTGATCATTGGCCTTTATTAGGTATTTATCTGTCTCCAGGTTTCTTTTCAAGGCAGATGTTTAAGTTACGGTTTATACACTCCAGTGCACATGTGTGATATTGGATCTAATTAGAAAAAAAAACTAAATGATGCCAAAACTAATCCATAGCTGTCACTCAGATACTTGATTACTGTGCTGCTAATTCTGCCTTTCTTGCTCCAGTGAGTAGGGCTGACCTTACGACTTCTGTGGGCTCAGGTACTGATGGATTTCAACGAGGTCTTTTTGCTCAGGGTGAATCAGGGGGCACTTAATAATCCAGAGTATCTGCAAGAGCTGGTGAGGCTCCTCTCACAGAGCTGCTCTGATGAGCAGAGTGATGCAGCCAGTCCAAACTGATGCTGCAGCAAGAGAGCCGTGGCCTGAAGGAATCCTTTAAGAACTGCTTGACTATGGAAAATGATGGTCCCTCTCCAAGAGAATTTTATGGCCTTAAGGTAAGTTTCATCACAGCTGAGTCAGCAAGGAGCTCATTGTAATATAAATGTTAATTCTTTTAAGTGAGGCATTGGTAAATTGCTAAAGTTAGGGAATACAATACAAGGAATTTTATGTGCAACTGTTAAAACAAGGGTTTTAAAAAACTCAGAAGAAGAAAGGACTTTAGCAATAGAAGTAATTAATTATATTTCACTTGAACAAGAGGAAGCAAGGTGAGTTTTTGGACTAAATTGTTCTAAGTATTGTATTTAAATACCCAATATAAACTGATTATTTATGTTATCACTGTAGCATGAATGACAAATAAGTCTGGTTATTTTTTTATGGCCACACTGGAAAGTGATTTTTAAAATGATTTAGTCTGAGAAGAGTTGTGTTCAATATTACACCTTTAGGCTTCTGTGCTCTGTGCTACAAAAGAAACTATTTGCAAACACAGCTGGACAGAAATAACCACATCTGCTCAAGTGTGGCCTCGTGCTAGTGCAGAAATGTGGAGAAAGATATTGCTGCAATGAAGATGCAAACCTAATTTTCTACTCAAAGAGAAATCTGGGTAAGTAGCTAAAACAAAATTTACTCTAAATTCATAGTGTTTGTTTGATAATGGAGATTCTAAAAGGTCTATTGTAGGGACCAGTGGTGATGGTAAGAGCAAAAGCAATGATCTGTGCTGGTGGTTTGGAGAATGCAATGCTTTTAGGAGAAATGCTAAATATGTATTTCATCTTGAACAGCAAGAACAATCTCAGTGAAGACATCTTTGCGGCAAATCAAGTTTTCAACTGTTTTAGTGCTCATAAAAAAAAAATAGAATTCCAACTCTAGCCTTTTCCCTTATTAAAATATGATTTCTGGGCTGGACTGGTACTAAAGCAAAACAAACTGCGTGCTGGGGCTGAAAGGAAGGTGGTGGAGGGTTAGGATAAATTCAAGGGCCTTCCTTACAGTGTGAACTGTCTGTAACCTGCAGATTAACCAGGGCTGGGATCAGTGTAGGGCAGGAAAATCAAAAGGCTGTAAAACTGTGAGAAAGGCTGCTGAAGTTAGGAACACCACAGGGTTCAGGGTTTACTTGGGGGAAAGTGGTGTTCAGGGAGGACATTCCATCAATGGCTGAAATGGAAATGATTTTTTGGAGCCAAGGTTGGATGCCAGTGACTTTGAAACTGTGGATTAAAAAAGTAAGATGCTAATACTGTTTATAATTCCTTATTATTGATCTTTATGACTCTTGGAAGTGGTTTATTAGCATTAACACTATCATTAAGTACCTGTTAAGAGTATGCCTATGGAAGCATAATCCTGATTTTGCTGAATTAAATGTAAGAACTTCCTCCAAACTTGATGGTAACATGACCAAGACCTACAGAAAGAGGCCGTCTGCAACAAAACACAAAATTTTGGAAACTGCTGCTGGATTATTTTATATCTCCACATGGGGATTATTTAATTTCAGAGACCCCTTAGATGCATCAGTTGGCAGATTTGAAAGGGCAATATTTTCATATTCCTCCTGTGATGCTGAGCATCTGCAGTGGTGAGCTAATACCATCAAATCCTTCTGAAAGTTCCTGTTCAGAAATCCATAGAAGATGGGGTTGATACACGTTGAGATCATGGCCACGAGGTGGCAGATGGTAAATGCCAGGTTGTGATTGCAGCTCATTAGCGCCTCGTAGTTCCAGTCAAAAACCACATTGAATATATTGAGAGGCAGCCAGCAAGCTGCAAAAGTCACAACAATTGATACCAGCATCATATTAATCCTTTTGCTTTCACTCAGCCTGCTCTCGTTCTCTCTCATCCTGTCTATTTTAAAGCGTCTCCTTCGAAGACATACAAATATCCTGAGGTAGCAGATAAAAATAAACCCCAGTGGGAAGCAGTACTGGAAAACCAGCAGGCTGGTGGTGAAAATCAGTCTCTCTGTAAGAGATGGCCATGCTTCGATGCAAGCAACCTTGTTCTTGTAGAAATCACTGTGGAAAGACAGGTGTTTGAAGGGCTCATCTGTTAATTGGTGAAATATTAAAAAAGGAAGGGATATCACGAGGGAAAGCGCCCAGATGAGAAGAATCCCCCAGTAAGCATGTGAAATATTAGGCTTCCAGCCACGTGGGTTCACAATTAACTGGTACCTCTCAACAGCAATGAGTACAAGTGAGAAAATGGAGACTGAGACAGATAAACTTTGTACGAAAGAACCCATTTTACACATTGCTTCCCCAAATATCCAGTGGTCCATTAAGGTGTATGCAACTGTGACAGGAATACACATGATACAGATCAAGACATCTGATAAAGAGAGGTTGGCAATCAAAATGTTGGTAACATTTTGAGCTTCTTTCCGTCTCTTTATTATAATAATCAAGCAAAGATTTCCAAAAAGCCCCACCACTAAAACTAACGTGTAAGCTGTGATAAGCAAGAACTCTGCAAGGAAGGAAAGCTGGCATGTGTCAAAGTTCAAAAACTGAGAAAAGCTAAAGTTAGAGATAGTTTGATTGGATAGGATCTCACTGGGGTGCTGAATGGCTTTATCCATCGTGAGGCATCTCCCAACCTATGGACAAAACCTTGTGTTATTTAGAATATACTTGGTATGGAGCTTTTCAAAGTCGTGAGTACTGTGGGTCTGTCATTGCAGTTGGTGTCCTTAAGGTTTTGAGCAAATCTGATTAATTACAGTACTGGCAAAGTGAGTGGTTATTAGTGGGGTTATGTATATCTGTGGATGGAGGTGGATGTCACCTTTCTGAGGTTCTGCTCTGACACTGAGCTGGGACTGTGGTGATAGCAGCTCTGGTTAAACTTGTATGGGCATTTTCATACAAATCCTCTTCCAGCAACTGTGGATAAAGTTTGATTTTCGGAATGAAATATTTTAAGATCTGTCTCTGCTGAAGATTTAGCAAGGTTAATGAATTCCAAGGAGGATAATTAGTTGCTTTTGTATTATCAGAAAAGAAGAACTGGGTCCTGCCATCGCATTGCTAGCTTAGACATCACACTTATATTTTCTTTAGAACTACAAAGCAATGTGAGCTAATACACCAAATCCTCCTGAACTGATCAAAATTATGTATGCTTGAGCTCAAGTGGTATTCAACACCTCTGTGAATGATATTTTTAAGGCAGTTTCCTGTTCTACTGATGCACTGAAGGTAGCAAGGCCTTTTTCCTCAACTTAACTTGAGAAAAATGTAAACCAAACACAGATCAAATTGTAGTTGTACACACAATTATTTCTCTGTCAGGAGTTATCAAGGGTTGTTTCATTTCCCTATGCACTTTTCATTGTTGTACAAGTTTGACAAATGATGTCCTTACATTTTTTTGTGGTTAAATGCAACATGTACTCAAGAGACACAGAGTTGATTTTTCTTTCAGCTCCAACTTAAACAGGTGTCAAGCAAAAAAATCTGATATTAGCACAGTTCTTTTGTTATAAAATTAATATTATTGAGAAGAATTAAGTTCAGCAGAATATCTTGGTCGAGTTGAATTTATCACCAAGTGAAAAAGTTAATCTTAAATTAAAGGCTCACCAGCTTTCTGGTCAGAAAGAGGTTATTTCAACCTGGGAAAGGAAAAAAGAAGGATGAAAACAGTTACTTTTAAAATAGGTATGTTCTACACATATACCTTTCAAAACTCAGCTTTAACTCACCTTAATTCCTTTTTGAAGTTATTGGAAAACTATCTGGAAGGAGATAATTCTTCACTCCTAGTAATAGTGTGGAGAGCCTGTGGAGAAAGGAGAATGAAGAAGCAGTGGGAAGTTAAAGAGGATGCACAAAAAGAAGGGTTAGGTGGATGTTTTATTGTTACTAGAAATAATTTGCTTATGTGTAGAAGATTTGTCAACCTTGTCATAGAAATGATTGTCATTATCTAATCACTAAGGTATAAAAAAAAAAGTTTTGCTTGTGTGCACAAGATTAAACACCAAATCCAGGGTTAAAATGGGAATGATTCTGTAGCTGCTTGCCCCCAGACACTCAAAGAATATTCCAGCCACTGTTCTATCCTGGACTGCTTTATCCTGATACTTCTGCTTGATGTAAGTTTGGATGCTTCAAATTAAGATTAAAAAAAAAAAAAACAAACCCAAACCCAAACAAAAGACAACACAACCCTTTGGAGCATCTATTGCCACTCTCATCCTGATTAAAATATCCCTTTCAACCAGCATACTCCTGTTGGAGTGGGAAGTGGCTGTAGATTTACGTGACTCTATGTGGCCCTGATGTTCCAAATATGACTTAATTTGTGGTCAGGGCTGGCATTAAGCCCTGTAGTCCCCCTAAATAATGCACCTGGCTTGGTTGCAGCTATATTGAGAGAATGGCATGGAAACCTGCACAATCATTCTGCAAAAGCCATTCAAATCTGGTGGCTCAGATAGATTTTGTAGTCCCTTGCAGGTGTCCCTGCTCCAGCAGGGCAAGAACAAGAGCTGGGTACCCGACTGTGTGTGCTCCAGCCTCCAAAAACTCTTCTCCTAACGAGTCCAGGAGCAGGGACAGGATTGTGGATCAAGCACAGTCACACCCAGTGGCTGGGCAACAGCCCCTCTTTCCTGGAGTGCACTGCAAACCACTTTTCCCTGGAGCAGCACTAATTGCCTGGCTGGATTTGTCTCACTGAGGGATGAACGTGCTGGGAGAGCAAGAGGCAGTAAATGGTACATTTACCACCAACAGTGGCAGCTGTTGCCCCGATGAGCTTTGCTGCCACTGGAGAAGTGTGAGGGTCCAAAGTCTGGCTGCTTTGCCCCCAGGGTGATCCTTCTCTTTGCACTGCCTGTGGTGGTCACCTGGATCTGAGCCCTGGCCCTTGAGAAGAGGTCAGGTGTCAGCAGGGGAGCTGGCCTGGGAGCACATCCCTTCAGAGACAACCTCTGCTCTTCCCTGCTTTTTATGTGAGCAGGAGAAGCTGTGGGGGCTCAAAGGCCATGAGGCTGAGCCAAGTTCGTAATATTTTATGCACTATTTGCTAAGCTTGCTTATTTATCCATGGTTGCACCACACAGTTTGATAGCAAGTGCTGAATGTCCTCTCCCAAGGATTCAGGGTGGCTGGTAGGGCTTCCTTGGCATTTGGGAAAAGTCTCTGTACTGACCTAATCAGTTCTCTCACTACATCTGTTTTAGGCACACTCTCCATCTGCACTGCTCTTTTCTCAGGAAAAAGTGTAATTACTTTTCACTGTTTGGTTTGTGCTGGGAGTTAAAAAGTGCAGTACCTGCCATTCTGCAAGGCAATTTAAACATTTCCTTGGCAATAAAACCATTACACCTGTCTTGTTAAACAACTGGAGTATTCATAGGTTTAAAAAAATAAGTTACTCTAATACTTACTGAATGTTGAACTATATTGTAATAAATACTGGCATTTTTAAAGCTAAAAAATGTTAGAGAATGTGGAATCAGTGTCCTTGAACCACAGCTACAGCTGATATCAGAATTGAAGCATTAAATAGAAAGAACTAATTACTTCAACCTCTAATTCATGCATTTAGAAAAAGATTCTCTACAACAGTGAGAATTTAACACTATAAACTGTTAGAGACCCCTCAGCCTGGTTGTTTCATTCCTCTGTCTAAAGAAACATCACTGAAACGTTCCTAAGTAAAAGAAAGGTCTAAAATAAAATGAGTTTTAAAAAGGCTTTCTTTCCTAAGTATTTGCTTACCTGTGATAAAGATGAATAGTCCCATCCCTTCAAGGTAACCAGTAAATGTTTCAATTACAAAAATTGTTAATTAAGTTCCAAAGTATTGCACAGACAACATGTGGAGGAAATTTCCCATTCAATTTTAAATATAGGAGGTACAAAAGAAAATAATGCTTTAAAAGACATATTTCAGTAACTTTTGCCACAGTTTTACAGATTTTCTGACTTCTTACCTGCTGAAAAATTCAAGTCATATCCACACTGCCTTTACCAATTTTCCTCTTCCCTTTTTGTGCTTACAGAGGCAGCAAAAACATCTTCTTTGTGTACCACAGAATCCGGAGCAAAGCCATCTGCTGCTAAAGCAATACTTAAACTCCCCCTTCCTCTCTTCCTGAAACAAACCACAGATCCACAATTTCCAAGTGTGCTGAATCCACCAGGCTGCAGGAAGGCTGCTGAGGAATAAAACAAGCTCTGGAATCCAAGAAGAGGCGAACAGCAGTGAGCAGGGAGGAGGAAGGACCAGTAGTCATGGGGATGGATTTTCCTCCACTGTGCAGTTTCCCTCCACCTTGTCAAACACCTTATCTTGCAATTTCATTCTCAATTATTTAATCTGTTCTGTAGTACAAATGTTTTCCCTATGTTGGATTTCATATATAAATATCTGCAGATGGCATATTGCTTTCTGAACTGATATGACTGTACATTAACCTGCTTGGAAAGAGCATGCACACCCTATTAAGTGTATCATTGGCCTTATTGCAATTAAGATAATGAGATTTTCACTACAAATTGATATTTTAGCTTATACTCCACAGATATAAAAATATTCCTGAAAAGCAAAGCATGGCACATTGCATTAGCACATGGTGAAAAGGGGCATTATTTTTATTATTGTTTTTTCAGTAAAAGTTCATATATTTTGTAGTCACTTATTTACAAATATTAGTATTTAATTCAGTGTTTCCCTACTAAATATTTAGAGTGGACATTTATGGGATAGGAAAGGAACTGTTTTTCTTAGGATGTGATAAGTTGCTGTATAAAGTCTTGAATTAGTACCTGGCTCCACTTAAGCCCTAATATCTCAATCTGGGTTTTTTTTGAGAGAATGATTTTTGAAAAGCAGTAGTAGGATTGTTGGGATGAGCAATACTGATGAAATTGCTGTTTAGAACTAATTACCTGGAAATATTGTTGGTTGTCAAGCTACTATATTTGCAGAAACTAGAGGTGGGGTGGAGGGAGCCTCTGTCATCCCCAGACAAACCTCCTGCTTCTCATATATTTCTATCTATCCATGATGTGTTTGTCCAGCCTGTTTTTTAACCATCTCTGGTAATCCTACATTAGGTACTTAAGAGCCTAATTTACTGTTAGGAAGATTCCTTAATACCTCCCCCTAAAACTTCCTTCTCTTTAGTTTAGCCCATTGCTTTTTATTCCAGGTGTGGTCTGGCAATTCTGACATTTTAACCAAAAATGCTACAATCAAGCAATGTGAATATACTTTTCTAAAGCATTTCTAGAACTTGCTGCTTTTGGTTATGTCAAAAATACTACAAAAACAGAGCTTTGCCAAAGTACTTTAGAAATTCTGCTTCTGGTTGTACTGTAACCCAAGGAAGTGAATCAGGACTTGAACATGCAGTGTGCAAGATAGGCGTCAGAACAAGCCATAAAAATGCATTATGTGTTTATAAAGGGAATAAGTCAACAAAATTAAAAGATGTTCTGATTCTATTTAAAAATTTCAAAGGTCAATTTGCTTATTGACATACGCCTCTGTTTCCAATATAACTCTGCGCAGTCCTTCATCTGCGGAAAAACTGGAGTGTTTAAAGTGGGATCCTCGGTTTTATGGTCACATCAACCTGCTGCCTGGTGTGGATTTAATTGTGCTGTAAGCTGTTGTGAGTTAGATCACATCCAGCATCAGAGGCCTGTGGGTGCAGCTGCTCCTGGTGTGTTCAAGCCTGATGTCAAAGGTGTGTATGCTGAGTGGGACCTATGGCTGTGTAGGAGGGATCGTGGTACATTGTTTTCTGTCAAATGCTGGAGTGTCTGTTTGCAAAACAGGTTAATGGATACCAGAATCATGTTTGCTTTTTATCAATGATCATGTTGTTTCTAAAGTGCTCAGTATTAAGTGATGGGTGAAGCGCCATAACAGACAGTTTTTTAAAGTCTAAGTTTGTAGTAATTTCTGTTGCACTGACAACAACGCGTTGGTGAAAAATTCTCTGGCATGTCAGTCCTTCGAGTTCTCCTCTTGCTTTGGCATTTACATGATTCCTTGCCCAGCAGGAATCTTGGCTGGTGGTTGATCACTCTAAACTTTTGCTGTTGCTTAGTTGCTTCTCTCATGTAGCTGTGCAGAAGTGCCTATTATTCCTGGTGCAGTCCCTTTTTCAGAAAGCAAGATTTAGTACAGATGTGGAATTTCTCAGCTTCCCAGGTGAAAGAGTTCTTTAACAGCAGATCAGCCAAGAGCTGGTTCAGTGACCTGTAACATCTCTGAAGGGTCATAGAATCACAGAGTGTTAAGGGTTCTATCCCTTAAAGATCACCCAGTTCCACCCCCTGCCATGGGCAGGGACACCTTCCACTAGCCCAGGTTCCTCCAACCTGGCCTTGGACACTTCCAGGGATGGGGCAGCCACAGCTTCTCTGGGCAACCTGTGCCAGAGCCTTACCACCCTCACAGGGAAGAATTCCTTCCCAATATCCCATCTAACCCTTCCCTCTGTCAGTGTGAAGCCATTCCCTCTCATCCTGTCCCTCCAGGCCCTTGTCCAAAGTCCCTGTCCAGCTCTCCTGGAGCTCCTTTAGGCAGCGGAAGGGGCTCCAAGGTCTCCCCAGAGCCTTCTCTTCTCCAGGCTGAACACCCCCAGCTCTCCCAGCCTGGCTCCATAGTAGAGCTACTTGGAGCATCCAGCTTTTGGAGCATCTTCATGGCCTCATCTGGACTCACTCCAACAAGTCCACGTAGTTCTTACCTCGGGAGCTCCAGAGCTGGAGGCAGCACTGCAGGGGAGGGTCTCAGAGGGGCAGAATCCCCTCCCTCACTGGGCTGCAAACACATTCCCAGCTCGCGTTGAGCTTCTTGTCAACCAACACCCCCAAGTCTTTCTCCTGGAATATTTTCTCCTAATAAGCACTATTCTTTATAGCACTTCAAAGAGACCTAGAAAAATAAACAAGAATAATTGGAAATCTCCTGTGTTAGTGTCAGATGTGCCAGTTAATGCCAGGAAAGTAAGATAATGTGCTCTGATGGAGGAAAAACACAGTCCCTGCACATTTCCCTGTTTTGTGGAGAGATCAACACCCTGCTAAGGGATCTTCAGTAAATAGCTTCTAATGTGACCAAACCAGCAACATCTGAATATTAGCTAAGTATGCACTGTCATTTTTTCCCCAATTATGTGTATGTGTAAGTTTGAGCACTGCTCCATGATTCAGAATTTTTTTCCTAATTGGAAAAAAAATTATCACAAAAATCACTCATGTTCACTACCTGGAGTTTAGGTTTCACTCCATTATACTGCATAGCTCTAGAGGACTGCTTTGCAACATCCTCATTCTGATTCTTAATTCTGATTCTCAATTAGCTCATGCCTAGAATGAAAAGTCAACTGTTTGAAAATCTGATTTAACTATAAATGAGTTACTTATAATGGCATATTCATTTTTAAAATTATGTCATGCCACGAACTGTTGGCTAATTTCTGGACCTTATTCAGTTGGCACAGAGATGGAGATGGATATACTCCCTGGTTGGAAGGTTAGCATCTTGATTTTTTGGGTCAGCCAAGTCACTGTTCTCACTGAAAAAGAGATAAGATATGTGAGTAATTGTAATAGGAGTGTGACTGTGTTAATTCATATTTTATAATAGATTCCACTTTCCAAATCCTGATTAAATTCTTTGTATCTTTCCAGAACTTCTCCAGCTGATTTTTACCCAAAGTGATCTCTGCCAAAAAATGAATTATTTCAATAGCTCACAGACTTGGGAGGAATATGATAAAGTGTATCTCTGGTTTGTTTTTTCCCCATTCTACAGTCTTTTTATAACAACACTGTGAGCACCAAACCCTGCTGTTCTCATGCCATGACATCTTTCAGTGTCCTAATTGTTAATTAAGAAATACTTATATAATCAAAAGGTTTTTCCCGTTAATCTGTTTCAATTTTCCAGCATGTTTCAAACTGTAATAGCAGTTTTGATTTTGTGAATTCAAAATATGAATTCTAGATTGCTATTTTGTGCCTAGGAAGGCTCACTTCCCACCACCTCATTTTAAAATTTCTTGAATAGCACGGATGTCTTACAGCTAATTCCAGGCAGGTACTTACTGAGCTTCATGGCACAACTCTGCCTGCTGTGTTCAAACAAAGCTAAATGTCAGTCATGCAAAAGCTCCACAAAACCACCCTACAGAGGTTCTGTGGAATGAGAAATAGATGGAGGCTAGGAATAGCTAAGGGAAAAAAATAAAAAGCAAGTAGATTTTAATTCAACTGGAAAATACATAATGAAAGATTTGCAGATGAGAAAGATCAGAGCGTGGCCGAGATTGCTGCTGGCTCCAGGTCTTCCCTTGGCAAAACTTATGATCCTGGACTAAGATACAGTGAAAGATCTCCCCTCTCACATCTGTCACAGCATTGCTCTGTTCTTTGATCCCTCACAAGAACCTTGACTTTTCAGACCATATTTTGCTGCCTTACTTTCATCCTATCACTTCAAATTATGACCAGCTTTTATATAAAATTTTAGGAAAGGGAAGAAAGGAAATCAAGCATCATTACAGAAGAGTGAAAAGATGAAAGAGGGAAAGAGAAATTGAACTTCAGAGGCAAGAGGAGGGAGGGCAGGATTTAAGGAAAAATATAATGTAAGTCCAAAGAAAAGGATGCAAATTCAATTCTCCGATGACTTCCCACTTCACCCTTCACAAAGGTGTGTTTCTCTCTTCAGCAAACTCCCCTTACAAAGAGCTCAGGGAAGATTTTGTTCAGTAGATCAACTTTGATACCACTTACTGAAGAAATAGTTCCTGTGGGTTACTCTGTAGTTACCTTTTTATCTGTAGATATCTTATTTTGCATTAAGCAGATACAAGAGAGGGGAGTGTTTTATTCCCCATCAGAATTCACACAGGGCAGATATTTTTATCCTGAGGAGTGTCATGTTCAAACTTTAGGGAGACAAAGGACTATCCAGTTCCCTCTCAGTGCTTTTTAATCAGTCTTTTTCAACAAAAAACCCCTCTCCCAAACAGTGCTAATTCATTAGTCTCCAAAATAAGATCACAGGTTTGATGTTCATGCAGATTAAAGTAAAAACAGCTGAACAGATAAACCTTTGATAAAAAAGGCAAGAGCTCTCTCAAAACCAGCTGTAGATCTTCCACAAGTTTTCACACCTGTAGCTAAACCAAGGTGGGAGGATGGGGAAGCTTCAGGTGCTGCTGGATGTTTTACCCAAAATGTCTTCTTATGACCTGCACAATTACTCTCTGCCTGAGGTGTTGGTTTGGCTAAGAGTGGGACTTCCAAAAGTCTAATAATATCTCTTTGAAATGATGAGATTAAAAACCCTTGCCTGAATGTGTGAAGATCTCAGAGTGATGTGGGAAATTATCGTTGAATCTCCCATATTCCCAACTGTTCCCACCTATGCACAGTTAGAAAAACCTGGGTGAAGTGTGGCTAAGATGGTGTTGTTATATCCAGTGCAGAACTAATTCAGCAAACTGCCTGCAAGAAGGATTCCTGTGGGCTTCAAAATACTTTCTGCCTACTGAAAGGTAAAACCAGACCTAAGTTTAGAGGACTGCACTATACTAAAAACCATACTTAAACTCATTAGAAATACAAGTGATATACTTAAATTGTTCTATATCAGTGTGGTTGGCTTCCAGAGTCAACAGGTGTTGATTCATTTTTTTTTTAAAACAAAGATGTTGAAACAAGTTAAAAGAATATGATTTTGTGTTTATATGAAGGTTTAGATAAAATATTTATAAGAGCTACTTGTGACTAATGTTCTTCTGTTGCCCCTCATGCTCTTTTCCAAAACTTCATTGTTCCTTTTCTGTCTTGGCAGTTTGGACTCATTGAAGAGCAGAACGAGTGTATGTTTCTTTACTGACAAAAATTGATATAAACAATTCCTTAATAACTTATTTTGTATTATCTTTTACTCAGAATATATAGCAGCATAGGAAGCCTAGTGCTGGAAAGGGACTGTTCAGATGTCTTTTTTATGATCTCTTAAGCAGTGATGCCCTCCTGTGGACTCTAGACAGTATGATTTCTACTGGAATAACTGGAAAGTTATATGCATGAAAACGATGTGGTTTCTTTCTAACCCTCTAATTAAGGACACGCTAAAATATCCTATGATGACATTTAACATAGGGCATTATTTGGCCAGTGCTTCTGGTTTGAGAAATACATTTCCTTCAGGCGGATGACACCTGAAAAAGTGCCTAAATTTAGAAACTTCATGTGCTTATACAATGATTTTTATTTATTCTATAGGTTGCTATCAGAGTTGAAACAATGTTTTGCTGCAACTGCCCTGTCAGAAGGGAAAGAGTACGTATTTCTTTTGCATGGTGCTTTCCTAGGAATTTTTAAACACATAGGAGAGGGTTATGCATTTACTCATTTACAATTAGAAACAGGTCAAAGGTGTGGTGGAAAAGGGTATTTCAGGAGCAGGGAAAGCCACCTAATTCATAGGAATGTGTACAACAAGTGCCTGGCTGCACAGATCAGGTGACTGGATGCCTCACCAGGCATGAATCCGACAGGAATTGCAGAGGTCCAGCTGGAATCTCTGCAGCAGCTCAGATGACTTGGGAGGTATGAAAGTCTGGGAGACTCAGAAGAAACTGATGCTCAGCTGTCTAGGAAACCTCCTTCCCCAGGGCCACAGAAGGACACCAGGTCAAGTGAAGTTTGGCCTTTCTGTAGTATCAGAGGAGACATTTTCACCTGCAAGTGATGGGAATGTTTGTCTGAAAGGCGTTTTCCTTTCATTAATCAACTGAGTCAGAAGTGCAAACGAAGAGGAAGAATTTGGGCTACACTTGAGTTGTGTCAGCGACTTATTTTTCCTACTGATTTACTCACATCTTAAAGACCCTCATGTCCTCCTCCTGATGCAAGCAGTGACTCCTTTCTTTGATCTCTTCCTTGGCCTACTTGTCTGTCTTGTTCTCAGGCAGAGAAAGTGAGCTGCAAACAAGCCTTCTCTCTCTTTGTTATCCATTGAGGCCACGAGAAGCTCCTCTTAAATTTTCTTCCTTTTTGCTGTAAATTATTATGGGTCTGTAAAACTCTCATGGATTATTTTCTACATGAAACATATTAATTTTCCTGGCAAAGGGCCACACAGTTTTTACAATAACTAGTAGGCAAAATATAGTTTTGTGTTTCCTGTAATTGTGTGGAGCTTGCAGACGGCCTCTGGGAATATATCCTGATAGAGTAGGATATATTTGTTTATTTTTAAACCACAAACACTTCAGTGACACTACGAGCATATTCTCTTTTCTACCAGATAAAATGATTGTGTCTGTTCATGCATTGAGATAAATGGATTTAAACATGTGACATCATGTTCAGCCTCTCTGGACTTCCTCTGGGGCTGTGGTTAACCAACCTTCCAGCACAGTCAGTGTTACACTTGTGTCTGCCAGCGTCCAAGGGAGCATTTCCAATTCATCTCTGTCAGGGGGATGCTGCAGTTCTGCTTCCTTCCTCCTGCCAGCACCAGCAGATCATGCAAAAAAACCCCAAACTGTTTCAGAAAGCTGAGGCAGCTGAAAACTTAAGTTCTTTTTCGTGATAAAATTATTTTTGGCTGTCTCAGTTCTCTTAAGTGCATTGCTGTGTGTTTGCACAAGCATCGAGGCTGGCACATGGGAAAAGGCAGGATTCCAGGGCTGGAGCGAAGCAATCCCAGAGCATATCAGCTCAGACAACTGTGGAATTCCATCCTGACACGGTGCCCAGTGCAAAACTGTAACGGTGGGTGAATTGAACCGCACTGTGAACTGACCTTCAAGGAAAGAACATTTCACTGCAAAAGCCATTCTTAGCTCCTGGGTAATTTTTAACATAAACCCCAGTGGCTGTAAGACAAAAAAAAAAAAAAAATCTCCCGTCTCTGGTGAAAAATTCACTAAATTTGAAAGTAGTGCTGCAGTCTTCATGCTGGCAATGTTTAAGGTACTATTAAAGAAAAAAAAAAGAAAAAAGGAAAAGGAAATTGATCTCACTATTAGTCATTTCATAGGGTTCACATACCCTTGAACTCTAATTATTTCTTTGAGAAAATACTGCCTTTTCAGAGATTTAAGGATGAGGAGGCAGTGATAGAGTTGGAAAAAAGATTGGGAAACGGGGGAGGAAACAGTAGCCGGAAAAGTAAGAAGGAATCACTGAGTCGTTTAGGCTGGAAAAGCCTTCCGAGCTCATCGAGTCCCACCGTTCCCCCAGCGCTGCCAAGGCCACCACTATAACCCATGTCCCGAGGTGCCACAGCCACACCTCTGTTAAATCTCTCCAGGGACGGTGACTCCTGGGCAGCTGGACAGTTTTCTGTGAAGAATTCTTTCCTGATATCCAGTCCCACTCTCCCCTGGCACAGCTTTGAGGCTGTTTCCTCTCATCCCGTCCCTTGTTCCCTGGGAGCAGAGCCCGACCCCTCCCAGCTCCCCCCTCCTGTCAGGGGGTTGCAGAGCCAGAAGGTCCCCCCTGAGCCTCCTTTTCTCCAGGATGAGCCCCCCCAGCTCCCTCAGCCCCTCCTGCTGCTCCAGCCCCTTCCCAGCTCCGTTCCCTTCCCGGGACACGCTCCGACCCCTCAATGTCCTTCTGAGAAAACAGACCGGGCAGTTGGGAGTGTGTTGAAAAGGGATGGATGGACACAAAGGTGGGAAGAGCCACCGCTAAGAGGGAGCAAACGGGAAGCGGACGGACCGGAGCGGGTAAACCCCAGAGGAGGGGAGTGAGGAACTCGCTGTTCGCGATGCCCTGAGGGGGAGGCGAGGGGCACACACACAGCAGAGCCCGGTGGGGCTGTGCCCGCGGGTCCGGGAGTGTCGGTGTCCAAAGGGGGGGTCTTAGGAGGAGAGACCAGGTTCTGCTCGGGGGTGCCGAGCAATGGGACGCGAGACAACGGGCAGAAACTGATGCACAGAAAGGGCCACCTGAACATGAGGCAGAACCTTCCGGTGCAGTGACCGCGCACAGACTGCCCAGAGAGGGTACGGGTTCTCCCCAGAACCGCGAGGACGCCGTGCAGCGCGATGTGCTCCGGGGTGACCCCGGCGGTGCCCGCCCCCCCTGCCCCGCCCGGGGCTCCGTGAGGGGCCGGGCGGGTCCCCCCTCAGGGCTCCCAACGGTCCCCGCGTTCAAACGCTCCCGCGCG